CTGGGGAAATGGATGCTATGGTCAGCTCATGCTGGGAAGCAAGAGACATCAAAGAAGGCCCAAATCAGGCAGCATCCCATTGAGATAGCAATGGTGGTGGCACCAGTGATGTGTTGGTAGCTTGAGAGAACATAGCAAGCAGGTAGACAAGAGGGCAGGAAACAGTACAACCAAAATATCTTCCTGGAAGAAGAAATTTTCCACTAACGTGGGGGGGGGGAAAAAAAAAAAAAAAAAGAAAAAGTAAAAAAAAATAAAGCTGCTGAAAAGTTAAAGAATCCACCAGGAATAACCCATACCAAATAATATGCTCATGCCTATGTGATCTCTGTTGGGACTCCAGAGGACTTTCCTTTGCTTTTCAGTATAGGACTCAGTCTGGGATACTGCCACCATAGAGGTTTGTGCAGCTTGCAACTGGTCCTTATATGATCTGGAGGAGGGTTGGGTTTTTTTTTTTTTTTTTTTTTTTTTTTTTTTTTTTTTGAACAAAAAAAAAAAAAAAAAAAAGAGGTAACTCATCATTTGTTGCACTGTTGTCACCCACATGATCCCAGTTTAGGCTGTCTTAGTGAATGGCATCATGGCCTGAGTAGCAGCCTCTTCACCAGCATCAGTCTGAATTAGAAGTTTTATGGTTCATGTCATATTATTGCCCTCACCTCTTTTTTTATTTTCCATATGCATGAAATAAATGTCAGATTAAAGCCTATTCCCTGGATCCAAAAGACTGAAGCAAAGTTCTGCATCTGCTATGCCTACAGTAGGTTGTCCAATGTTACATGCTGAATTTAATCCTGAAGAATGGTTTATAGCTACATGTAACTTGACTTTTTTCCAGTGTGCTGAGCACACACAGCGCCCTTGGCTGCAGTGAGGGCTGCCAGTGTTCACAGCATTTGAAAGCAGACTGGGAGAATTGTCTCAGACAGACGAAAAACCACACTCGTGCTCGGAAAGCAAGCTTTGCTTAGGGGGCCTTCTTTCCCAAGAGTTTTGTTTATTTTATTTTTTATTATTTTATTTTCCCCAAAAGCTATCAGGGTGGACCTAGTACTGTGTTAAGAGATGCCCAACACCTTCCATTGCAAGAACCCACTTACAGCTCTTTATGTTTTTAGCGAATTTTAGCTTTTTAGTAATTTTTAATTTAAACTGCAACTCAATGTCCATGTTTCTACCAAACCCCCTCTCAGTCTTGCCTTAGGAATGGCATCTAAAGGTGTCTGGTTGTCCCCAGAGTCTCCTCAATAACAGCCACTCATCACTTCCATTTGGGTGTCATTGTCACAGCCCTCCTCAACCCAGAGGTAAAACTCCATACATTCCTCTTCTGCCAGGGGTACAAAATAAAAATGAAACACCTAGAACCAATTTAGTAGCTGATGGATGTGTCATTTATGAAGGGTGACAGAGTGGAAGTGCTTTATAGGAGCCTCCTCCATGGTCAAGTCAATGATGTTGTTACTGCTCAAAAGGCTTTGATGCCATTCTTGGAGCTGGCCTTGAGCAAGTCACTTATTAAGCTCTAGCTCTGAGTCCCCAGAGGCAGTGGAAGTGTTACCACTGACTGAAACAACAGCGAGATGAAGACTTAAATCTCCCTGGGCCTGTGGAACACAAACTAATACACCTTTTCTTGCACTTTATGATCACTCTCTGTTTAGACAGTAAGCTCTTTATAGCTAGGCACCTAAGACTAGGTATGTTCTTAGAAATCACAAGCGAAAAACACATGGGCTCTTTGGGCCGTTGATATAACAGCATGATGGAAATAATAATGTAGCTGTGCTAACTGGACAAGCTTTTAATATTATGAATGGGGAATTCATTAAAATCCACCAGTGAGAATAAGAGTTCATAATTCCCTGCAGTTCCGTGAGGCCATGAATTTCTGCTTCTCCTTACTCTCAGAAAGACATTTCAGTGATCTCCTCATCTACTAGCCAGCAGAAGCAGAAAAATAAATACACGACTAGGAGCTGTATTCACAGACAGGAAGTAACTTTAATTAAATATTGTGAAAGTTGAAAAGTTTTTACAGCTTGAATTTCTGCAAAAAAATTATAACAATCTCTACAGTAGTTAGTTTCTCTAACAATAGAACTGTACAGTGTGTGTGTCTATTCAAAAAGATTTAGATAAGAAGGTGAAAGGTTAGTAGTTTCAGAGATGACTTCATTTTAGCTGCATCCTAGTACAACTGTGAGAAATAGGCATACTTTATGCAATCCAGTCATTGTGAAGCTTCACCTTTTTTTTTTTTTTTTTTTTTTTTAACTGAAATCTGAACGTTTCCACTTAAAGCCATATTCTGTAAACAGCTGCATCTTTTACTTGGTAAAAGATGAGGGTGATACAGGAGGATTTTTTTGTAAGGTCCCATTGATCAGAGCACTACAAATAGCTGCAATAAAACAAAACTATGCACATCGTCAAAGGATCTTTGGACACTGGCGTAAAAGACTACATATGTAGATGGCTAAACACTGGTGTCAAAATCGCTATGACTTTGAGTGGAGCTCTACAAGAGTAACCAATGGTGTCMCTGGACAAAATATGGCTTTAAATTTGACTACACTGTCGTGCTGTTGCTTACTATGTGAATTAGAATAATTGCTTGGAATACAGAGAAGCAATAAACTGATGTCTCTCCCCTTTTTCCAGTTTTGTTCTCCTTTTATTTTCTCACCATGAAAAAAAAAGACTCCTGTTTTCTTCCCTTCCCCCAAAAGATCACACTGTGACATTCTAGTGAAACCCATTGCAAAATTCATACAGGAAGCATGCACAGTTGCAGCATCGTTGTAAATGATTTCTTGCTCGACTAGAAAAAAGTTATATTGTTTTAAGGTAACAAAACAGTTCTTTTGTGCTTTTCAATTCCTTTTTTTTTTTTTTTTTCTTAGAATGTTAGTGATGACTGACAGTTCTGGTGCACAGTACAATGTACAAGTGAAATGAATATGATTTGCATTGTTAAGGCATCCAATCTGCTGGTTTATATTTATGTGAAAGACAGAGAAATATACAAGCAGACTTAAGAAAGAAAGTATTTTCATTGAGTTCTATGAAGTTTCTCCCCATATTTAATGCACAAAAAATGCGTCACTCCAAGAGGAGAAATCCCATGCATATTAATAGAGTAAAACAGCATTAGTTTTTGTTAAGCCTCAAAAGCAAAGGATACATTTTTTTTTTAAATCTACATAACTAAATGCTACAAGAATAATATGCTACTTTTTGCCATATATTGGAAAAAACTTCTTAACTTACAAATAATACAAAAATAGACAATGGCTTTTGGGTGGAAATTAAAAAAATGGAAGCATGGTTTTAAACAATACTAAAAAAAAAAAAAAACTATAAATGAAATGTTTTAAAATCACATTTAAACAGCTAATACAACGGTGAATGACCAAACAAATCAGCACTTTTTCACATAGCAAACATACACAATAAAATAAACTTGGGGAAAAAAAGCAATGTACAAATTCCAAAGATAAATACATTATTTATATGGATATTTTACAAAATCCCCTTTAAAACAAACAAACAAACAAAAAAGAACAGAAACAAAAAGCTTTTTTTTTCTTTAATTAATTTTGCAAGTATGTGCAAGCTAAAGGTAGTGAGCTCTTTTTTGCAAAATATGCAGTAAAATTCTTTTTTTGTGATATTGAAAAACCGTCTTAAGACATTAAAATGTATAAATAGAACAACAACTTTGGCAAAAAATCACAAAAAATCTACAGTATTTATAACTACATACAAAACACAACAGCAAAGAAAAAAAATATCAGGTAATGCATCTTCAGAGCTTTGCTGCCTCTTGGACTAACATTTTTTTAAGAACACTTCCCCGATGATAGCAAAATTCTGGTAAAACAAGCTATGGTTTTGATTCGAAACCATCCTAACAGCCCCCTCCCTCCTCCACCCCCRCCCGAAACTCGTGTTTCCATTTACTACTCAAAAAGCAGTTACCTGGTGCTTAATATATTATGATACAAACTGAGAGGGTCGACTTATACGGTGCGGGTCCCAGCGGGACGGGGCCAGGACCGCGGTGCCAGAGATGCTGCCGGTGCCCAGGGAGCACGAGCCGCTTGCTGGGGCTTTAGGACGGCTCTGGAAAACTCATCCCAGCCTTTCCCACCCGCCTCTGCTGACATGAGCCGGCGGACAGACCCCTCTTTGGGCAAGAGTGTGGCATGAGCTGGAGGCAGAGCCCTGCTCACCTCGATCTGGGTTTTTAGCACGGTATYTAGAGGCACTGGATTTGCAGCTCAAGGGGGACCTGTGCTGGGTGGTTGCATCCTTACCTTTGCTTCCCCCCTGCTTCCCTCGTTGTATTATTTACACGGCTATTTAGCCTGATATTAGAGGTTACAGGCATCCCTCCTCATCCCACCTTGCCATCCAGGAACATCACCCTCCTAGGGAGCAACACCTATTGAAGAGGAACATTAGAAACGCATCGTATCAGCCAAGCACCGCTGGATAAGCAACCAGTATAAGCCGACCCTTAAGTAAATGGCCATAATTCTTCTACGAAAAACTAACTGGCACTTCTATTCTGTCCCGTATAGACTTG